AAAAAAATAATAAATAGAAAAATTCCCTGAGTGACATACTTTTTAAAGGTGACATACTTTTTAAGACTTTTTCCTCATAACAGTTGATTACTGCTTATTTATAAAATGTGTGTAGTCTTATGTGCATTAGTGTTCTTTGTGTAAAACGTGTGGTCTTATAGGCATTAACAAGAGCAAAGGGCAGTTATAAATGCCCTTACTGATTGGTATTACATACAAATTTAATGTATATTCACTGGAATTGTAGAGACTTTCATAAAAAAAATTATAAAGCTTAAAATAGCATTATGTAATTTTATAGCCAATTTAATTCGAAAGACTATAAGAGAAACCCAGCGGAGTGTTAATTTGTTGTATCTCAGCATTGATTGCTGTATCGTACTGCATTAATACTAATTTGCCATGAAGATATTATGTCAACATGCTTCTATTATTATAACATAATAATAGGGGAAAAATTCAGCATTGAATTGAGATAAATTTTAATAGATTATGAGATTAACTTGTGCTCATTGTGCCATAATGGCATTTGTGTTGAATTGCTGAACCGATGCAGGTCATGTCCACATTGCACTAGTATCTCATGTGAAGTCTACATGGTGCACAGACATAGGTGGCAGTGTTTAAACAGTATTTAAACAGGCTTTAACTGCCCTGGGTGTTATCTCTTTCATCTGTAGGTAAAAATTATATTGCATCAAAATAATGCTTGGCATATAGCTAATATTCAGTGTGGACTTACTATTACAATTTATGGACCCTATTTTAAGAGCGGGTTGTTGTTGTCGTTAGGTGCTGTTGTGTCGTTTCAGAACAAAACACCGCCTAGTCCTGCGCCATCCTCATAATCATTGTTATGCTTGAGCCCATTGCTGCAGCCACTGTGTCAATCCATCTCACTGAGGGTCTTCCTCTTTTTCACTGACCCTCTACTTTACCAAGCATGATGTCCTTCTCCAGGGACTGATCCCTCCTGATAACATGTCCAAAGTATGGAGACGTAGTCTCGCCATACTTGCTTCTAAGGAGCATTCTGGTTGTACTTCTTTCAACACAGATTTGCTTGTTCTATTGGCAGTCCATAGTATATTCAATATTCTTTGCCAACACCACAATTCAAAGGCGTCAATTCTTCCTCGGTCTTCCTTATTTGTTGTCCAGCTTTTGCATGCATATGAGGCAATTGAAAACTCTATGGCTTAGGTCAGGCGCACCTTAGTCCTCAAGGTGACATCTTTGCTTTTCAACAGTTTAAAGAGGTCTTTTGCAGCAGATTTGCCCAATGCAATGTGTCTTTTGATTTCTTGACTGCTGCTTCCGTGGGTGTTGATTGTGGATCCAAGTAAAATTAAATCCTTGACAACTTTAATCTTTTCTCCATTTATCATGATGTTGCTTACTGGTCCAGTTGTGAGGATTTGTGTTTTCTTTATGTTGAGGTGTAATCATTACTGAAGGCTGTGATCTTTGATCTTCATCAGAAAGTCCTTCAAGTCCTCTTCACTTTCAGGCAGCAAGGCTGTGTTATCCGCATAGCACAGGTTGTTAATGCATCTTCCTCCAATCTTGATGCCCTGTTCTTCTTCACAGAGTCCAGTTTCTTGGATTATTTACTCAGCATACAGATTGAATAGGTATGGTGAAACGATAAAACCTTGACACACACCTTTCCTGATTTTAAACCATGCAGTATCCCCTTGTTCTGTTCAAACAACTGCCTCTTGATCTGTGTACAGGTTCTTCATGAACACAATTAGGTGTTCTGGAATTCCCATTCTTCGCAATGTTATCCATAATTTGTTATGATCCACACAGTCGAATGCCTTTGCATAGTCAATAAAACACAGATAAACATCTTTCTGGTATTCTCCACTTTCAGCCAGGATCCATCTGACATCAGCAATGTTATCCCTAGTTCCACGTCCTCTTCTGAATCCAGCTTGAATTTCTGGCAGTTCCCTGTTGACATACTGCTGCAGCTGCTTTTGAATGATCTTCAGCAAAATTTTACTTGCGTGTGATATTGATACTGTCGATAATTTCTGCATTTAGTTGGCTCGCCTTTCTTGTGAATAGGCATAAATATAGATCTATTCCAGTCAGTTGGCCAGGTAGCTGTCTTCCAAATTTTTTGGCATAGATGAGTGAGCACTTCCAGTGCTGCATCAGTTTGTTGATACATCTCATTTGGTGTTCCATCAATTCCTGAAGCCTTGTTTTTTGTCAATGCCTGCAGTACAGCTTGGACTTCTTCCTTCAGTACCATTGGTTCCTGATCATATGCTGTCTCCTGAAATGGTTGAACGTCAACCAGTTCTTTTTGGTATGACTGTGTATTCCTTCTATCTTCTTTTGATGCTTCCTGCATTGTTTAATATTTTCCCCATAGAATCCTTCACTATTGCAATTCAAGGCTTGAATTTTTTCTTCAGTTCTTTCAGCTTGAGAAATGCTGAGCATGTTCTTCCCTTTTGATTTCCATTTCCAGGTCTTTGCACATGTCATCATAATATTTTACTTTGTCTTCTCGAGCCGCTCTTTGAAATCTTCTGTTCAGTTCTTTTACTTCATGATTTCTTCCTTTTGCTTTAGCTACTCGACGTTCAAGAGCAAGTTTCAGAGTCTCTTGTGACATCCATTTTGGTTTTTTTTTTCCTTTCCTATTTTTAATGGCCTCTTGCTTTCTTCATGTATGATGTCCTTGATGTCATTCCACAACTGGCCTGGTCTTCAGTCATTAGTGTTCAGTGCATCAAATCTATTCTTGAAATGGTCTCTAAATTCAGGTGGGATATACTCAAGGTCATACTTTGAGTTTCGTGGACTTGTTCTAATTTTCTTCAGTTTCAGCTTGAACTTGCATACGAGCAATTGATTGTCTGTTCTGCAGTTGGCCCTTGGCCTTGTTCTGACTGATGATAGTGAGCTTTTTCATCATCTCTTTCCACAGATGTAGTTGATTTGATTTCTCTGTATTCCGTCTGGCAAAGTCCATATGTATAGTCTCTGTTTATGTTGGTGAAGAAAAGTATTTGCAATGAAGAAGTTGTTGGTCTTGCAAAATCCTGTCGTGATCTCCGGCATCATTTCTGTCAGATTTTCCAACTACAGATCCTTCTTCTTCGTTTCCAACTTAGTGATTAGTCATGTCTGTAGCAACTGTGACTGAAGCTAAACTCACCACTGGTGAAGATATTAAACCTGCTTAAATGTATCAATCCTGCCCCTTACCTTATAAAGTTTACAATCCATGGTAGAGATGGGAGATTTGGAAAGGACTTTGACAATATTTGAGGAGTGGGATCAATACTGTTTCCAGGAAGTGCTCAGGGAGAAAAAGAATTTTTTAACCAAATAAGCTTTAAAAATACTACATAATATACCCTCTTCTTTGAGATTAAGGAGCCCTGGTGGTGGTTAAGCATTCGGCTGCTAACCGATAGGTCAATGGTTCAAACCCACCAGCTACTCTACAGGAGAAAAGACCTGACAATCTGCTTCCATAGAGATTACAGCCTTGGAAACCCTATGGAGCTGTTTTGCTATGTCCTATAAGGTTGCTATGAGTCAGAACTGACTTGACGGCAATAGGTTACAGGTCTTGGAGATTCAAAATACTCATTGGTACAGCAAAGGTTTAGAGATGTTGTGTTAAAAAAAAAAAAAAAAAAAGACCTGTTTTAACTTAGTTTTATCCAACTTTCCTCAAACTTATTTAGCAATGGAACTCTTTTGAAATATAACACCACTAAATGACCTACGCAATTAGCCTCCTATGAAATACACCTAGAGAAATGCTCACTTAGAGAAATACTAACACTCAGCTTCTCCCGCCCCCCTTTAAATTCATAGGTTTAAAACATATCATACTGACAAATAGCATACCAATTTTACCTTTCCATACATAATTAAGTGTAACAAAAGCTTCTCAACCATGTGGTAGGGAGTGAATTCACAAAACCCAGGAAAGGAAAAGATCAGAAAAGCAATGTTTATGCCAGATATGTCTCTAGGTAACTGATTTTTAACATCTTAAAACTCAGTAACTCTGTTATATTCCTATTCCAATTTCTTATGAATTATGAAGAATAAGTATGGTGAAAGATGCAACCCTGACACATATCTTCATTGATTTTAAGCCATGAAGTATCCTCTTGCTCTGTTGGAACAACTGCCTCTTGGTCTACAATGTACAGGTTCCACATGAGCACAATTAGGTGTTCTGGAATTTCCATTCTTCAGAATATTTTAAAAGTCTAGGTCCTAAAAAGGAGCCCTGGTTAATCGCGCAGCTTCTAACCGAAAGGTTGGCTGTTTGAACCCACCCAGCTGCTCTGAGGAAGAAAGACTTGGTGATCTGTTCCCATAGAGATTCCAGCCTAGAAAACCTTCTGGGGCAGGTCTACTCTGTCACATGGGGTCACTATGAGTTGAAAATTGGCTTGATAGCACTCAGCAACAACAACAGGTCCTAAAACTCTCCCTTCAATCCCAAAGCATCATTCTGATATACTAATTTATGACAGGGCATAAGAATTGCTACAAAAAAACAGAGGTAACATAAAAGCAAAAACAAATCTCAGGAAGAATTTACACTAATCTGATACCCCATTAATTTTCAGGAGTCCCAAAACCTGGTCGTTGTTGTTATTGCTGTCAAGTCAATTCCAATGCATGGCAACCCCATGTGTGCAGAGTATAATTGTGCTCCATAGGATTTTCAAGGCTGTGACCTTTAGGAGGCAGATGCCAGGCCTTTCTTCTGAGGAGCCTGTGAGTATATTTGAATTGTCAGCCTTTCGGCTAGCAGTTGAACATTTAACCATTTGTGCCATCCAGGGACTCCCTAAACTGGAGGTTCAGCCTTTTGGCCTTCTTCTCTAGTCCTGAGATAGGACACAAAGACAGAATGAATAAGAAATGCTGAATTAACTTTGGTGTTAAAATTGTTTCTTTCATGGCTAACCTAACTTATATTGTGACTGCTTCTGAATTCATAGGTGGTCTTGAATCTGGGAGACCTTCCCCGATGGGGAGCTCATATCTTGCACAGCAAGCTCCTTTTCTTCATCCAAGCACCCTGAGGACACCTCCTACCCCCTAAAAAGGTTTGGAAATATATAAGGAGGTTTTTAGTTATCACAGTTGACTGGGAATTGTACTTGGCTTTTAGTGGTCATGTGAAAAATGCTTTATACCACAAACAACTGTCCTGCCTCTAATGCCAATTGTGCTTCCATTAGGAAACATTCTTTCCTCCCCTCTTCTCCTGTCCTGCCTCTAGCTTAGGTTGTAAACTCTGGGAGAGAAGGGACAAGGTGGACCCTGTTCACCTTAGTGCCTAGAAGAGCACCTTACATGTAGTGAGTGCTCAGTAGATACTATGTGAATGAAATGCCACTTATATTGACAGTGATTGATTGGTGGACAATATAATAGACATAATGAAAAGCTGCTGACCAAAGTTCAGTTTCCTTAGACCTTAAATTGACTTGTCTGGTGTTGGGATGCTGGATACATCTGCTTTTCAAGAAGGCTCTCTGCTGGATCCTCGTGCATATCAGCTTTAGGTCTTTGCTTTTGGAGAGGGGGAGTTGTCCCATGTGCCAGTTTACTCCGACTCTGGAATGGGAATATAATTCAGAGGCGAGCACTGACTGATGGACTTGATTTTATTTTGCATATCTCCATTTAGGGGGAAGTTAAAATGTAATATATAATTTTTTTGTAACTGTATAAAACCAAATTTATATTATTTTGAAAATATGGTTCCCTAGATTTCCTGGAAAAGTTTAGAAATCTTGTAATTAAGCTTTTGAGTCATGGAGCCTGTTTTCAGCCTGTAAAGTGTGTTATTCAAGGATAAAAGGGAAAAACAGGTTGTGAGGCACTGGATGGATGTAATTCTTCCTTTCAGTCAGATTTTCCTAAAGCAAGTTAGCTGTATGTGGCTTGTTTCTTACTAATGCAAGAAAACTTATCAATGATCAGAAACAGTGTTACAATGTAATTCATATTTTACAGAAACTACATTAAAAGGCTTTCTCTGCCATATTTCAAAGAAAATTTCTCATCTTTGCTTCTTTGTCCTTTCTTTCATGTCATTTTTACCCTAGGGAATTGAGTAGTTAGTCTCCAAAGCACATTCTGCTTCTTTCTTCTGAATGTTAATTGTCACATTGTATGAAAATTGCTGTCTTGTTTAGCATTTAAAACGTCTATTCTCTGGGGATGTCTTTGTTCTGCATTTCTAATTGTTTATATCACCAAGGAACAACTTAGAAAAGAAAAAAAACTGTATTGATTTTATCACAAAACCAATATTTACAAATTATTTTTCTGATGGCATCTAGTGTTCATTTTCACCCCCTCACCTCCATCTGTATTTATAGTATGTTCACAGACTGAGTATTTAAAATTCCGTCATGATTCCACAACAGAATTTTCCCCTCCAGACATCTAGTTAGTGTCTCGTGTCACAGCAGCATATTCCTTTGTGGCATAAAATTGTACACTTTTTTTTGTTCTGGAAGTTCTCTTCCACCACGGAGCAGCGACTGACTCTGTGAACCTATCTCCAAGCCTGGCTTCAGAGAAGCTGTTCCCATAACGGTCTCTGTTCAGTTTTAGCTTCTATTTTTTTTTTTAATGCAACACCAACGGTCTTGGGAAATAAAGAAAACGACTTGTCCTATATAGGCAGCCCTCTCCTGGGAGGAACCGCCATTATTTTGGGCTGGTGTTTGTCTGGCTAAGTTGCTTTTGCCAGTGGGACGCAGTGGTGAATCTTGTCAGAATCTGTTCTCTTAGGCATCTCTTCTACCTGAATATGCAGAATCATTTCCTTTTAGTAAATATTTGCATGTTCCCAAGGGAGCTCATTCAACTGTGTCTTATTTTTGAGTTGGGTCTAGTTGAGGAGTGTTGTGTGGGTGGATTGTACTGCCCTTGCCTTTCCTCTGAAACCAGCTTTCTGCAATAAAAATTAAATAGGGAGAAGGTTTGGAGATGATGAGGTGCATTCAGAGTGTCATTTCTGTTTTAACCAGAAAACAAGTTTTTAAGGCAGAACCTGTGATGGGAAAACAGAGGGTGATTCAGGAAGTGGCCACAAGAGAGAGTTGAATTAGAAGATTCTTGAACTGAGGTGGCAGATGGAATATCCCCGTGACTCTCAATAAAGTCTTTTTCTGATGTTAGAGGGAAAAAATGGCTCAAAATTAAGCATCTAGATTCCTGTCCCTTCATGTCGTGGAAACAAAAATTAACGAGAAACCAGTTCTCCCCTGCTCCCTAACTGAGGGGCTGTAGACAAGCCCCTGGGGCAGTGTGGAGTGACTGGCCTGTCCACTGTCCCTCCTCCCATCTAAATAGCTTTCTCAGATCCTTGCGCCTCCAACTATTCCCCAGCTCTCTGCTCATTGTTGCTTCAGGGCCAGGGTGCACCTTAGCCAGGGGTTGAGGGGTGACAATGGCAGGAGAAACATGAATCTCCGATCCTCATTGATTGGTCTGAGGCACATCTTCATTGGAAACAACAACAAAATGCTTCTTGGCTTAAATATATAAGCCTAGGATGCACAACTACCACTTGTCTGCTAGTGCAGGCCTGCGTGTTGCTATGATGCTGAACAGGTATCAGTGGTGCTTCCAGACTAAGACAGACTAGGAAGAAAGGCCTGGCAATCTACTTCTGAAAATCAGCCAGTGAAAACCCTGTGGATCACAATGGTCCGATCCACAACAGATCCTGGGGATGGTGCAGGACCAGGTAGCATTTCATTCTGTTGTGCATGGTGTCACCAAGAGCCAGGGGCAGACTTGATGGCAGCCAACAACAACAACAGGAGTGAAGGAAGCAAGTGGAGGAGCTGGGAATAAGTTGATACAACATAAGGGTATTAAAATAGACAAGGTCCTTCATCTGACCTCTGCTTAACAGTTCAGCTGGGCTTCTTGCTGCTCCAGCAACACTGAATACTTGTAGTTCCTATAATCTTCATGCTATCCTTCACCTTGGTGCCTTTGCTCATGCTGCTCAAGACATTTCCTCCAGGAAGCCTTCCCTGAATCCCCTCCATCCAGTGTCTCCAGATTTCCTTCTCTGTACTTCCACTAATATCCAGAGCATATCTCTGTAACTGTGCTACTACAGTGTCTTAATACCTTTCAATGCCTGCCCCTCACTCATACGTCTCTTTGAGGGCAAGAGCGGTGCCCAAATCATTTGTATTTCCAGGGTGTAGACTAGACTTTGCAGGCACTTAATGCTTGTTGAATGATTAAATAAGACAGGGCAAAAAAATATAAGCAGAATGACCAACAAATGAATTGTGTCTTTTGACTTCAGGATGCCGTCTAGCACAAGAGTTGGCAGCAAATACGTAACCCACCTGAGGGCAAGGAATTGAAAAGAAAATTGCCTCAGGTCTTACAATGCCTCTGTCTTGTAGACTTCAAGTCGGGTTGCAGATCATTCAACTGTTTTGGGTTTCTATGCAGAAAGTGCTATCGCATTCAGTTAATTGTTCTTGTTGTTTTATTTTTTCTGTGACTTTTGGAGGAAATTATTTGATGTTCAGAGCGCTCTAGCCGAGACCTTTGCTTTAGCAGATAGAAGACTGCTCACATAATTGTTTTATTCCTATGTTGTTTGAACTACCTTTTTCTCTTTATTTCCTATGTGAGGGAACTTTTCTTTAGTTCTTTTCTTACTACTTGTACAATCTAATGTCTGGGGCTCAAACTATATCCATGGATTCTAATGTTAAATTCATTTTCTCTCTCTCTCTTTTTTAATATATACTCCTTTTGATTTTAAAATGTGACTTAACTTTCTATCTACCCCTTCATGAGGCAAGGCTTCTTATCAGGCAAGAACAAAGCCACTCTTATGGTTTCAAATACTACACGCAATAATAATATTCATAATTAACATTTATTGAGCACTCACTTTAACAGGCACTGTGCTAAATATTGTACAGACCTTAGCTCATCTAACGTCTCCTAACAATGAGATGAATACAGAGTTAACCCTGAAACCTGCCAAAAGCAACAATCTGATGAATAAGTCAATTAGAGTTAAAAGGTTTTATTGGGTGGGAAGAAACTGTTCATGAACTGGGAGCACCCCTCTGAAGAGATAGCTTGTCACATTACAATTTGGATCAGGGGATTTCCCAAAAGGAAGATTTTTAAATGATTGCTTGTCATTCAGTTGGCAGAGGGTGGCTTGGATTGGTTTATTACGTTTGAGTGTCTGCTTTATATAGACCAGTTATTGTCTAATTACTTAAACTTTTCCCAGAACTGTCTTTATCATGAGATTTTAGTTGCTGTGAAGGGTTAAGGGTTACGTGTCTCAGTTATCTAGTGCTGTTGTAACAGAAACACCACAAGTGGTTTTAACAAACAGAAATTTATTTTTACATAGCTTAGGAGGCTAGAAGTCCAAAATCAGGGTGCTGGCTCTAGGGGAAGGTTTTCTTTCTCTGATGGCTCTGGAGAAAGGTCCTTGTCTCTTCAGCTTCTATTCTTTAGCTTCTTGGTGGTCTTCATATGGCATGGCATCTATCTTCTCCCATCTCTGCTTCTCTCGCTTGTTTGCTTAATCTGTTTATAACTTAAAAGACACTGACTCAAGACTAACCTTACACTAATCCTGCCTCATTCACGTAACAAAGACAACCCATTCCCAAATGGGATTGTAACTGCAGGCATACCAAAAAGCCCAATGCAGTTGAGTCAATTCCAACTCCTAATGACCTTATAGGACAGGGTAGAACTGTCCGGTAGGGTTTTCAAGGAGCAGCTGGTGGATTTGAACTGCTGACCTTTTGGTTAGCAGTGGAACTCTTAACCACTGCGCCACCAGCGCTCCGGTTACCAAAGGCATACAGGTTAGGATTTTACAACACATATTTTTGGGGGACATAATTCAATCCACCCCATTGTCTCATTAACATAACAAAGAAAACCTATTCCCAAATGTGATTTTAACTACAGGTATAGGGGTTAGAATTTACAATGCATATTTTAGGGGGACACAATTCAATCCATAACATTAAGATTAAACAGGGGAAGGGTAGACACTTTCTTTAACAAACTAAAACTTACTTTTCTATAGTTTCAGCTCAGCTGCCTACTGTTTCCATATGGACAGCCCTCTGGTGCCTCCACCTTCACACACCTAAGGAGCACAGTCTCTGGAGCAGGTTGGCTGAAGTTCAAACCTCATCTCTGCCAAAAACTAGCTGTGTGATCTTGGGGAAGTTTTTTAAATTTTTAGTGTCTCATTTTCTTCATTTATAAAATGAAGATTACAGTATATGGACTGTTGTGATATTTAAGAGTTAATACGTATAAGGTGGTGTGTATTAAGGTCCTGTGGCTGCCATAACAAATCTACCCACAAACTGCCGTAATTAAAACAATAGA